ATAATGAAAGGGAAAGGCTTATAGTTATTGTGGTAGGCAACTAAGTTTCTACCACAAGGAGAAACAAAGAGATTTTTATGACCACATAGAACAAAGTAATTTATTATTCATCAATCTAGATTCATCAGTATAGTGAGATATTTTCACATTGAAATATGCCTTAATAAAATAATTCGTACTGATGTTACAAATCACATTTTCTTAAAGCTCTCCTTAATGTTTTACTTGAACAGATTTCTTTGCATAAATGAAACGTAAGAAGACACATTTTGGGGCTGGGGACTTAGCCCAGTGGAATCCTGGCAAGCTCATGGTCCTGAGTTTGATTCCCAGTACCAACCCCCCCAAAAAAAACAAACAAACAGAAAAAGAAAAGAAAACGCATTTTAATAATGACATAATGAAAGTTGTGTAGTACTTATGAGTTTTAAAAAATATAATCTACCATAAAACCCCACTCTGGTCTCTAAATTTAATCTGGATAATAATAGAGGAGAGTAAGAAATTGTTTAACAAATCTCCATAACTAAATTTTTAAGGGATGCTTTACAAATGTTCCTATTTCTTCTTTTTAGGAAGAGGGTGATATTGCATGTTTCCTCCAGTGTTGATGTTTGTGAGATATTTGACAGTGTAATGTAAAGAGAAGTGTTGCAAGCTGTTTCTAAGAATCAATGAGAAATTTTTCATGTTATCTTTTCCTTCCACAGTTATGATAAAAATACATATGGAAACAGTGCATTCTCCACCAAGAATCTCTGAGTACACACCGAATTTAAGATACACATGTAGTGTAAGCAAGAAATAAACTCATGTGCTAATCCACTAAAGATAGGGGGCTGTTTATTCCTTCAGTATGACCTTGTCTGTACTAACTGATACTTCTCAGAATCCCTTCAACTTGTATCGCCACAATAATAATGCTTTCCTTTGTAAGTGATTGGTCAAGTGCTACAGTTATTTTGCAGTTGGCCTAAGAAGTGATGATCTCTTCCCTATTCAAATAAAAATGCCTCTCTATAAGACATCACATGGATTACAAAATATATGCATCACACATTTCACTATGAGAACATGATCCAGAAAGAAACGAGCAGTTAAGAAGTTCTTATTCTAGTTGAGATTACGGAAATGAGGCAACTCTGATTTCTTCAAAAGGGCCTACTTGTTTCCAGCAAAATAGTCAAAGAGACCAAAAAGGATATAAAACCTAGATTTGTGTGCTTCTCTATGATACACTATGATAGAAGTGATGGCAGGGCTACAGAAAGCCAACTAACATTCAAAATGAAGTTTGTAGATTATCCATGGACTTTAAGCAGACTTTTTTCCCAGAACTCCATTGTCAAAGACATGGAAATGATGATATAAATTGAGAAATAACAAACACGCTTTGTTATTCTGTCCACTCTGTGTACAGTCTCCATTATAAATATGAAAATGTCTACCCATTGTGTCTATGGCAGCCTTACAGTGTCTATCAAATGCTCAAAATTACACAAAATATTAAATGCTCTTTACTTTAAAAAGGTAATATAGTAATTTAACTGATAGCCAGAATGAGTGTGAAGAACAGAGAATAATTACAAGGGCAAATACTATCATTAAGAATGTTATATAAAGAAAAAGAAAAAAGGGAAACAAGGTCTTTGTAGCTAGGGAGGAGTGAAGGGGTTGAAGGGAGAGCAGGGGAATGGGGAAAAAAATAAGAACCAAGATAGATTATGTAAAGGTGCAAATTTCCAATGATGAATGTCATTGTATGGTATAACTTAAATGCACCAATAAAATGAATTTAAAAATTAAAAAAGAATGTTACATAAAAATAAAAATGATCTAAATCATAAAAATCAGGGAATAGAGATATTTAGGATAGCTTTACTTGGAAAGTCAATGTTTTTTTACAGCATCAATCTCGATCTAAATAAATGGCCAAGTGAGTAATGCAAAACTTTATTATGCTTAGAAAAATATGAAAAATATGAAGTCAAGTATTAATTGATTGCTTATTGAGCAAAGTACTCATGAATACTAAAAAAAAAAAAAAGAGAGAGAGAGACCGTTAAGTAGGCGAAGGAAGACAGCAGTTTGGAAAATTAAAACAAAGATTAAACAACTGTCCAAGGCTCTTTCTGCCTGTATAAGTCAAAGCAAATGTGGAAATAAATTTAGAGAAAAGAGCATTTTTCAGAAGCCAAGTTCTAAAACCACATTTGGATATAGTGTTCATTTATTGCTAAACTGAGACCATTTACATTTTAGGTCTCAAATAGGATTTTTTTTAATCAAATACATCTCTACAATATTTTGAAGAAAAAGGAATCATTTGAACCCAGTTTTTAAAGAGTGGTGGAAATATGGATGACTGGTATTTTTACTTCTGTATATTTAATTCCTAAAACATTGTAAACATTAAATAATATTTGCATGTCATATTGTAGGAAGCTGTAATTTTTAAGATCTGCAAGATTTAATTTAGGTAATTGTTTTTGAGTTTTAATATAGCTGGTGTAAAATTCTTGTTTTCTTGTTACAGTAATGATGTAAGTAGCAGTGCATGTGATGCTTCCCAAGGCTGTTCCCACATTCGAGATAGCATAACAACTTGTGAGTGCCTCATATCAAAGATTTATTTGTATTCATATCGGATTTTTAAATGCAAGGCATAATAAGATCGTAATATTCAGCAGGGATGGTTATGATGTTAGATGGAATGGCAAGCCCTGGGGACTGCTGACCAGTTGAGTGGCTAAAGTGTTGTTCCTTTGCCTTTTATGTTGTGTCCCTTTGGAGGACTCAGGCCACATCTCTCCTTCCACTGCTTACTCTCAGTTCCCTCCAGCATTCAAGGAATAGAACTGGATATGTAGCCTTTATGTCCCTTTTTCTCTTATTCTAAACTATTTAAACCTATTCATGTAAAATATCACTAATATTAGAAATGTAATAAGACCACAGATTTGCTTTGCTTTTGGAAATAACTCTAGGTGTAGAAAAGATGGGTGGATTGAATGATGGATAGGAACACGAATATAGGAAGTATTTGGTTATCCATAAATGCAAAACAAGCAACCCTGAATGCAGTAGAACCACAAGAATCCATTGTGGTTATTAGCTTATATTTTAGGGATGACTAGATTCACTTATCTAGGTGAATCCCTAGGTGATTCTTGCCTCAATATCTCTCATGCCATTCTTCTCAGATAGAGACTGGGGCTTGAGTCATCTCAAAGGCTTCTTTCCTCACATATGTGATGCCTGTTGCTGTTTTTTTGCCCTGGGACCTCAACTGTGGCTGCTGGCCTGAGTACATATAGGTGGCTACTCCATATGACCCAGGCTTCTTCCCAAGGTTGAAGCTGGGATTTCAATGCAGTGATCGATGGGAGAGATAATTAGGCAGAAAGGGTGCTATAATTTCTGATCTTGTTTCAGAAATCAACTTGCTTCACTTCTTAGGCATTCTAGAATACTGTTTGTTAAGATCATTAAGGCTGATCTACAATATCACTACATTCAAGGCAGTATCAAAATGTGTGGACATGTAATAAAACTACTAAAACGAGATGCATATATTTGAATATATCAAGCATTCCTTCATTTACAGTTCAAATTGTTTCATTTCTTTTATTTTATTTTAAATTGAACTTATTGGTATATTCTAGGTAGACAGTACAGTTACATTCATTACTGGGATCTTATACCTTTACATGACAGGTCTTGGTTCTCATTTTTTCCCCTTGTCCCCACCCTCCCTTCACCCCTTCCTCCCCTCCCCACCTTCAAACACTTTAATTCCATTTTTACATTTTCTCATATTTTTTTCCTTTTCCCTTATTCCCCTTTCCCTATCCTTCTCACTGTTCCTACACCTTTGGAGTTTCATTTCTTTTAATGTAAATTATTAACAATCCTACAAAAATTTGACATTATTGAATGAATCTTTTACTATATACATATATAAAGTTAATTTTAAATAGTAGTAAAGTTCCCATTGTAGTGAAATTCCTTATTAAAGAAACTTTTTTCTCATGTTACTGAATATAGAACCCAGGGCTTTCAAATTGGGCTATATCTATTTCTATTCTTTTGTTTGAGACAGGGTCTCAAAAGTCTCTAAGTCTCTTAAATTTCCCAGTCTGAACTTGGTCTTGCAGTCATCCTGCCTCAGTGTCACAAAGTGCTGAGACTGCATACTGTTACTACCATATTCAGATGTTATTAAGGAATCTTTAAAAGAGGGTCATAATTACGCATTTTGTTATGCTAAAGCTTGAGCTGGAGTCACCCACTGTTTCCTTTTTTATATATGTATCAAATTCTAATCTTGTGTTCTATTGCTTTGAACATTTTATAGATCCCAAAGTGTCAATTATTGATCGAAAGCTCTTTTATTTGAATAGCATTAATATTATTATATAACATTATTTCATGCCAACTACTTTGTGTTGTATTTTGTTAGCTATTAAAGAGAGTTTCATTAGAGAGTTCTTCTGCTCCACACATACTCTCTCCCTGAAAGGGAATGAATCTGCAAGCCTAGAGATCTACCATCTTCCCTTCGGCGTCCACACGCGCTACTGTGCCATCATCTTAAGCAACCAAGAGGTGAGAACTGAGTCATAGTGTGTGCTTCCATCACGGGCTTTCGCCTTCATGAAGTCAGCAGTACAGGCAACTTGAAGTAACCTGGAGACCCTAGAAAATTTTGGTGCTTAAGTTGCTAGGCAGAGAGCTTAACCTCAAGAATATCCAGAGTCTTCCATTAGTTGAAGGTTAATATTATGAAGGCTACATAGGGATGTGCCATGGGGACAGAGTAGAGGCTTGTTTCACTTTGTTATGGCTCTATATTGGTTAGCTGTAGCTGTGCGATAAGTCATCACACAATAATGGCTAAAAATAACTCGTTTATTATCTCACAGTTTCTCTGGATGAGAGGTCTGACAAGACATAAATAGTTCATCTGCTTTGGGCCTATCAACTATTTAATCGAGGAAATAACCAGGGCTGGCTTCTCCTCAGAAGTTCCAACTGAGGAAGGATCTGCTTATCGATCCCCCTCAAGTTGTTGGCACAAATTACTTGTGGTTCTGGGATTTGTACAGCTGACTTCTTCAAAATTAACAAGGAAAAGAGACAACAGGAGGTAGAGGGAGAAAGATGGACAAGAGCAAATTTTATACCATTGCCATCTTCCAAAAAGACATTGCTACATGCTGACCTGAGGGGTTATTTATAATTGGTAGGATATATGTCTAAATGTATTGTATGTCCACTAAACTTAGTAAATATGCAGTGCAATAATGATAATTGCAAAGAGACGTTCCTCTCACTTGGTTTCAATAGAATCATTTACACATGAAAAATAATATAGTTTATTGAATATATAAAATGTAATTTAATTTTACACATAAAATGGCCACATAGAAGGAACTAACGAGGACTCCTGTTATTTCTTTTAAAAAAGTTCAACTGTTGAGGGTGTAATTCAGTGGTAAAGAGCTTGCCTAGCATGCGGTAGGCCCTGAATTTTATTCTCAGCACTTCAAAATAAATAAGTTCTGGTTTAACTACACTTCTCTTTATATAAAACTTGTGAAAAAATACCAATAATGGTGTGACCAATAGTTTGATCAAATTCTTTAATGTATCATTTTATTACATTATAATGCAACTTTAGAAAATATTAGAATTAATTATTAGTGATACAGTAACTAGATTAATTTTATTCTTTGACATTATCAGAATATTAATATTTGTTTACATATATTTAATCTAAATTAATCAAGATGTAATTATACTTCATTTGGCACTGAAAATTATTAAAGCATATCTTTGATTACTTATATTCTATCATTTTCACAAAACATTAAGAAAAAATGTGTCTTGAAATTATATTGACATACCTTGAGAAATAATGCTCCAGTTTAAAGGATTGCTTTGAATTATAATTACATATGTGGGGAAATACGTCTTTTAATTTATACATTCAATTATATTGCTAATTATATTGAAAATTGCAATTACATGGTTAACTAGATAATCAAACATCCAAGTCTCCCTAGTTAGCTTATGTTCTTATTAAATATGCTATAACTCCTTTCTCACTATGACCCTATGTTGAAAATGATAAAGTAATTAGAATTATTTTCTAACTGTCCTGAATAAAATAAAACCATTTTACAAACAATGATATCAAGGAAAGGCCACTTAACTTCTAGGCCTTTGTTGTCATTTGGTCTGTTATATTTGAACTTCTACATTAAGAAGCAAAGTGATTTTATAACAACTGTTTGAAAGTAGAAATAGTTTTACAGAATTTCTATCAGCGTTGATAAAAATTCTTAATTTAGGCAGAAACCTATAAAAGCTTTTAAAAATATCTATGCTATAAAATGCCAGAGATTTGAAGAAATGTCTGCTCTAATATGGAATAGATTAAATGGAGGTACTTCAAGCAGACTCATGTCTCGGTTCCTATGGATTTACATCTTCAGGGAGGATAAGTTTACAAAGATGCTTTATGAAGCAAAAAACACAGTAAAGCGGACAGCAATATGTTGCTGCATTGTTCTGTCTTCACTGTGGTGTCCAGCATACGAACACCTGCTCTGTGTAGTACAGGATTCCCATTGTAGGACAGCACCTGCCATTGCTGAATTTACATGTACCAAAGAGGTGAGTGCATCAGCTGGGATCTGGATCAAGAATGACTTCATGGTGGAGCCACTTGCTATGGTAATACCAACTTTCTCCCACTACCATTTCTTGAGATTTTTTATTGAGCCAACCTAGCACCTACTTTCCTTCTGGTAAATTTACTTTCCAGTCCTTTATTGTCATCTTTTGTCTACAAACTTTGATCAGAAGAAATTGAGACCAAATGAAGGAACACACACACACACACACACACACACACACACACACACACGTGGCGTTTGGCAAAACATTTGTACACATTTCAAGAAAAGAAAAATTTGTATAAACATTTTAGTACTAAATTTATTGAGACATCATGAGATTAGTACATGCTACTTTTGGCCTCTACAATTTCAGCAGTTGCTCAAAGTGATGGCTATGAGCTTCCAGACATTAATTAGTATAACAAACTACTGATTGGGTAGCACTAGTCTTTGAGATTGCTGTACATACATGCGTTTTCAATTTCTTCTCTAAAGACCAGCAGTGCGGTGGGCTTTCTGAGTCATATGACATCCTGTAGGATTCCCCATATAAGGGTAACACCATCTATTAATAAAATATCATACTGTCTTTTCTTTCCCTGAAGATTGTATACATTTTAAAAGTTTTTTATCTTTTGTTTTCAATTTAAATAGCACATGTTTGCAATTCATGCAGTTTATAGAGAGTGTGTATACATTTTTTGGTGGAACATATGTATGTATTTGTTTGTTGACATAGGATCTCAATATGTAGTCCAGGCTGCCCCTGAACCTTCCTGACTCAGCCAAGTGGCGGTATTACAGACATGTGTCACCCTGCCCACCTAAATAATTATATTTTGAATATGTACTTCTGTACCTTGATAAACACTTGTGTCATTTACGTAGATATTTCCTACTTAAAGATATATTTAGAATAGTCTCTTGGTTATGCAGATAATATTGTTTTAAGATTGTGGTACACTTCAAAACAGTTTCAATGCGAGCTTCGCAACCAGGTTTGCTTTATTTTAATTTTCAGGTTGTTGCATGTTTGTCACAAGCTGATTATGATTTACGATTCCCCATTGTATCTAAATTTTCCAGCCTTCATTTCCATTTATCCTCTCAAGTCTTGGCTCCACCCTAAGTAACATCTGCCTTTTCACCATATCTTTAGGCAATTTATATGAATGTCAAGGGATGAGAAGCCCTGCTGTCAAAGCAATGGATGTGCTCTTTTTAAATAGACCTCTTAAATGCCTGGTAAATGCCAAAAGGATCTGTGTTGCCTCATGTAATCCTCCTGAATCCTTTGACTTCTTGAGATATAAAGATTTTAAAAACCATTTTATTATGGAAAGTTTCAAACACACAAAAGGGAAGAAAAATAATTTTCTTTCTACCCTTCATACTTCTTAACCAAGACAGATTCTTACAAAGGAAAGGTTAACAAGGACAGAACAAAAATGTATTACCATGTATATTGCATAAATACATGGGAGACACCCAGGAAATTATTAAATCTCATATAACATTTTCAACAAATAATAGTAAGTTTTCAGAGAAGTGAAAAGACAAAGGAAAAGTAATTTGTGTCTGCGACGGAGGCAAATTGTGTGAAGTCAAATGAATGGGGATTTGCTATTTGGATTGATTTAATGTCATTTCCAGGCAGATAAGGGTCTAGAATTGTCTTCTTGATCAACCTTTTGCTTTGCTGATAGACAAGGAAGGAGAATACTTTTGTAAATTTATATCCTACTTTTTGGCAAATGGTAGAGGATTGTGTTGTATTTGATTTTCAGTTGCCTTCAGTTCAAAACTCATTATTATGCAAATGAAGCACAATTTAGAGTGTCCTGTCCTGAGTTCCTACACATTGAGCTATAAAGATAAAGCTATAAGTCCCCCCTGTACCCTTCACCAAGTTTAAACAATATGCGGCTAAACAAGTTTAATGATTTTAATGAAACAAATCTCAATCACCATATAATTTTATTTATGAGCAATTCAATGTCTCTACAACAAAGATTCCCTTTTTTCACATGGCCTTTGACCGCACTACTATTATTAAAAATATTGTACATTTTTTCTTAATACCATTATGCATCAAGGCAGTGCTCAGATACCCTATCTCATGATTATGATTCTTCTCTCCCCTTCAAGTTTCGTTGTTTGAATCATAAACTAAGATTCATTCATGTAGACTGTATGTCTTTCTAAATCCTTTTTCTTTTAAATACTAGGAGCCTAAAATAAAGGTATTATTCAACTCATTTTACCAAGGGAGAAATTGAGACTCCAGAGATTTTTAAGCTTGTCTGAATTTTGGGGGGTTTTGGTTTTTGTTTCTCTGTTTGGGTTTTTTTTTTTTCCAGACAGAATCTCACTTTGTAGCCCAAGCTGGCCTAGAATTTATGGTGATACTTCTGCCTCAGCCCGCTGAGTGCTGGGATTACAGGTGTGCACCACCAGGCCTAGCTTACTTGAATTTTAATAGCTAATAAATGGCAATGCCAATTAAACTCAGGGATGCCCATTTCTATTGTTTTTTCTCTATATCATATTGATACACTTACATTTTTCTGACTTTTATTTTTACCTTGTCTGTCTAGGCTTTTGTACTTCTTCCCTAATTATTGGTTTTAGAATATTTTAAGGACCTTACATGGTCAAACTTTAAAATTCAGACTCATACGGAATCAGACACTCTGAAAAAAATGCAGTCACCTGTAAAAATAAGTTACAGAATGAAGGAAACATACTTCTTTATTGCTTGCTTGATCATTTAAAGGTAGTAGTTTCCCAAGGAGAGTTGTAGCTATAAAGATAATGTGGGACCTTTTTAATCTATCCCCTTGTCTGTTGGATACAATTTCCCCCAGACTGTGGTAAGAATATATTTAAAACTTGCCAGTATCCAATCATTAAGAAGCTATGTTGCTTAGAAAAATATGCATGAAAATTCTATTCTATAGATTTTCCTTGTAGCATAAAGATTTATTGTACTTTTATGAATTCTCAAAATTTTGCTTTTAGGTTGGAGAATTAATATACATTGTGCAAGGTGATGGTTTGGTCCCCTTGCCTTCCAGTTTCCATTCTTCAGAGCCTTCTAGTCCAATTGACTTCAACAGCTCACTAGAAGAAGGTATAGTATATACAGGTTTTAACAGTATTTCATTTTTTATGGTAGTTAAAAGATGGGGTGATTCCTTTTATAGTCACTTCTGTAAACATCTTCATTTCTCTAAAATGTAATTAGATTGTGGAAGACCACTTTTTAAATTTGTGTCAGCATGCATGAAATAGAACATTATTTCATCAGTTGAAAACATCAGTGGTGATTCTTTTTTAGTTTTCAGAGAGGTACTCAAATTTGGCATAAAAATATCATTTAGCAGATGGAGACTGTGTATTAGCTGTAATCCCAGCACTTTGAGACACCCAGGCAGGGAGATCACAAATCCATGCCCAGCCATGGCAACAAAAGGAGGCCCATTCGGAAAAAGGGACTGTTGGTGATATGGGGATGTAGCTCATTGGTAGAGTGCTTCCTTGCATAGCAATGAAAGCTTTGATCCCAGTACCCCCCCCAAAAAAAACGAAAAAAGCCCACAAAAAAACAAAAACAAGGGGCAATACTAATTTTTTTGCACTCTGTTTAATGAAGACCATAACTGCGGTTTTCTACTTCAAATCTCCCAACTTCACCCTGGATTGAGGGCATAAATGTTCAGTGCATTAACAAATACTTTTGTTTTCCCTAGAGAATAATAAGGGACATCCAGTTTTGTATTTGAAATGTGAACTCCGTCAAACCTTAGATGTGAGCCTTAAGGTGCCACTGACTAATGAAGCCAGGGAAAATGCGTTGACTTTTGCAGCACAACAGGAAATGTCTGCAGTTGAGTATGAGCGAAGGCGAATCACAGGCACTCTGGAGAGCAGTAGCATCCGTGTTGCTGTTGCCCTCCTGGGGCTAACCAAGATTGAGGTAGGAATGGAAAACAGATGATACATTTCAATTACTAACTCTTACACATATACAGAGCTGTTCCTACTTAATCATAGCAATATTTTTACAAAGAAAATGATGAATATTCTTTCCCACAGGAAGACAGCTGAGTAGTGATGTTTTTTAAACATCACTTAATAATAAATCTGAAACAATACATCCTACTATATAATATTACACATTATGGTGTAATCCTTAGTTCCCAATAATCAATTCTGGCTGCACATTAGAATTCTCTGGAAAACTTATACTAATACCCAGACACCACTCCAAATAATTAATACAAATCTCTGGAAGGGAATGGTTGGGAACACGATCTGCAAGTTGCCTAAGATATTCTGCTATGCATCTAGAAAGAATCATCTCTGGTGACAGATTACCTGGCTGAGAATTCAGACTAACAGTGCCTATCAGTATGACTACGTGCTTGTTACCTAAACCTCCTCACCTCTCTGTTTTTATATTTTCAATATAGAAATATTGGTAGTTACTGAAAACTGAGACAATTATGTAAAATACCTAGCACATTATCTGGTGCAAAATAAATGTTCTCTTTTTTCATTTTATGAAAACATAAATCAGAATTTTATAATAAAATGGGAATGGGGGGCCGAGGATGCAGTTCAGTGGCACTATGCCTGCCTGGCAAGTGTAAGGTCCTGAGTTCAATCCCTGATAACACCCCCCAAAAAATAAATAAAATAAGAATAACAAAAATTAATACATTGTGTATAGTTATCTTCCAAGATATTAGAGTGCAAGATATTGATAAAGATTCTTACAAAGAAGAGCACATAGATATTAGCATAAAGATTTGTGATTGTTGTAGTCATTATTATCACTACTATTATACTATATACTACTATAGTAGCTATATTTTTATTATTATAGCTTGAAATTAAATATAAATATATTCTATATTTATGGTTGAAATAAATCTATTCTCAATGAGCAGCCAAGGTGATTTTTCTAAATGCAAACCTAAGCTAGGAGTGGTGGAACAGACTTATGATCCAGCACTAGGCCGAAGCAGGAGAATCTCTAGTTCAACCAGTATGGGCTACATAGCAAGTTCAAAGCAAACCTTGGCCTTGTCTCAAAAAAAAAAAACAAAAACAAATGAATTCAACCCTTCTCATATCATTCCTCTTTGCACATTTCCGTACTCAGATGAAAAGTCTTAGAATTATTTCATGATACTCCTGATCATTCCTGCTTTCTCCCCTGATCCCAATTCCACCATAACAATATATCCACTGGTGGCGATACCTCAGCACAGGAACTTGCTGTTCTTAAAACAAGCCAGACATGCTCCCCATGACCTTTCAGCTTTCTCTATTTCTTTCCCCTAGATTTCAGAGGGCTGCATCCCTCAAGTACTTTGTGTCCATTAAGATGCTCTGAGTGAGTTTCTGCTTTACCACCTCAGATACATTTTTATGCATTTTTATACTTCTTTAAGGTTTAACTTCATTTATATATTTACAACAAGATTCTTGGCATTGTGTGAGTAACTTATTGTTGTAATGCTAGACTCCGTGCAGCCTGACTGTATATTTCTAACAATTAATGGTAATATTTTAAAGATGACCTGGAGTTTAAAATTTTGACTGGATCGCAAGTATTAAAGCCTAAAACTATGACATCCTCTGATTTAAACTAGTCCTACTGTGTTTTCAAGACGCTGATACATCTCTTCAACTTCAACTAAAATACTACAAATGATACTGAATTTGGGAAGGCTTACTGTTTAGTAGCCAGTATACACTATTACAGTAAATATTTTCAATGAGTTACCTTTTCAAACATTTAGCCCATCATAGTGCTCTCTATCTCCCTCCTTCTATCTTTTAACTCTTTAAATTTATTTTTAATTATCTCTTCTGAAAATAATTACTTAAAAATCAAAAAGGAGGTGGATTTTTTATATGGCATGATTTTCTATCTTTTTCCTTTTTCCTATAACTTTCTCCCTAGAACACAGCACATTTTTTGTTTATTATGGCATTTAATAAATTATGCATTGTATTAGATTTACTTTATGATACTTTTTCTCCTGCCTGATTATGAATTATTAAAAATCAAAAAGCTTTTATATGTGTTTTTTGCCTGTCTTTTGACATCTATTGCATACTATGTATCCTGTCATTTCTTTTTCACTGAATTGTCACTTGTCACGTGCTTCATTTATACTATGACAGCTCAGTTTATCTACACTGTCCTGTTTTAGAAAGGACAATATTGTGTATAAAAGATCATATTCATGGGAGTTGTTTTGTAACCCACATTATATTACTAATGGTTGAGGGGACTAAAAATATCAAACCTAGATATGAAAGATTTTTTTGACATCTGCAGAAAGGTAATGCTTAAATTTATTTTTATATTCACAAAATTGTCATTAGTGAAAGAAAGCATCAGTCTGTACTGCTAATCAGAACTATATTTTATGGGTAAATGTGAAGAAGCGCAGTTTTCAACTCAGGGAGGGAAGCACTTTTTCAGTGTTATTCACTACTGAAATGGTTCCTTCTCCAGTCATATTATTCCTTAACACTGAAAATACTAGGGCAACAAAATTAACTCGCCTCTTAATAAAGAGAGTCTACAATGGTTCTATGTGGTGTGTTAGTGCTGCTGCCTTCCGTAAACTATGTAATAATGTCTCTCAAAAGGTTAATAAATTCAAACCTTTGAGTATTTTTCCCAAATGTAATATCTAGTAGATAATGATGTCTTTTATATTGTGGCAATAAAAGTGATGAAAATTACATTCCAATCTTACGATTTCTTTTCAGGCTCTTATGCTCTTTCATATGTCCAAGTTGAAGAAGCCTAAGTCCATTTTATTTACAACAGAACTGAGTCTTCCAGAACATTTTATTATTCCCCCAAAAATCTACATGCCTCAGAGTCCAGAAACTCATGCTAAAGTGACTACATCTGAAGGAATTATTACTCCAGATTCAACAGGTAATCAGCAATGTGTTCAGTAGTATATTTAGCACAGTTCCATGAAGATTGATGGCGGCAACATGCCAAAAGAGAATAATGTGTCATTTATGAGGTATTTATTTTTTATCTGAAACACAGTCTTAGTTACTAAATACTTACTGTTAGTCTTCTGTTGCCTCTGTTTCGTTGCTGTAACCGTGAAGGTATACACTACATTTTAATATGAATAGTGATACACTAACATTAACAACAAGTGGTTAGATGTAAAAAAGTGACTATCTGTAACTATTTAAAATTCTCTTTTTAAAATGTTACTTTCTTTCAATTTGCCGCATCAGTATAGGGTCATTTTTCCCTTGGACTATTCCTGGAATATACCATAACTGTAGTATTGTAGACTCCACATTATACTTTTGTTAAATTTGACCTTTTTAATGTGTTACATTTTTTACTCCTATGGGTTTGTATTAACTAGAGAATGGTGTGAAATGTTACCTGACTCTGGGATGCCATACACTCCTTTTAGGGATAATTTCCAAGTTCTTGGTGTACTGAACAAAGAACTGAACAAGACTCCTGAAAAAGGTAGCAAGGATTTACATGTATTAAAGATATTAAAGAAATACACTTGACAGAAAGATAGAGAAACAAGTACACTTGGCAGAATGTAAATCGGTCTGCTGAATCCACCCCATACACAGGGAGAGGGACAGCAAGAGTTCCTAACCCAAGAACTCAGACTGGATCAGACTCTGCAAGAAAGCCTGCAACTTAGGGGAAGGAAGTCCTGAGTGTGAGTTAACTTCAGTATTTCAGTAGAAGAATCACTGGAGTTATATAGAAGACTGTCTAGCAGCTACTAGGTGACAACAAGAAGACCAATCTAAGGCTAATCACAGTTATAGAAAAACTAGAATATAGCACAGATAGATTCACTAATATGTTTACAGAAACTATACAAGCAAATTATGAAAATATAAAAAAAGTTTAAAATACAAGTAAGCAACAGTTATAGGCACTAAAAAATGATGAAAAAAGAAGCTCACCAAGGCATATCGTTATTAAATTACTAGATATCTGGCAAGACAATAAATCTGGCTTTTTTAAAGAAGCCAGAAAAACAAAAAAAATCACATACTGAAGGTAAATCAATACGAATCACAGCAGACTTCTCAACACAAATCTTAAAGGCCAGAAGAGCTTGAAGTGAAGCATTTCAAGCTCTAAGAACAAATAACATTGAACCCAGGTTAAATTATCCAGCAAAGCTATTCTTCAAAACAGATGGAGAAGTAAGGCATTCCCGTGAACAAGACCAGCTCAGAAGACATATTAGTGCTAACCCAACTCTAGAGAAAATATACTTGAGAATGTTCTCAACAGAAACAATGAATCAGACACAGCTAAAAACAGAGAGAAATCTAGTGAGGTCAACAAAAACATCAGGAAAAGATAAAGGATACACCAATAGATAAAGAAGGCAATGAGAGTAAATAACCAAAACATCTCAGTGATTATATCTTAATTTTAAGTCTCACCTCTCCTACTAAAAGACAAATATTGGCAGATTATATCAAAAAATAAAATTGAACAGTCTATGACATTCAAGAAATGCATCAAATCCAAAACGATATTCATAGGATAAAAAGTAAAGGATGGAAACAAAATTTCATGCACTAGGATGCCAGGCAAAAGCAGAGTTAGCTATTTTATCAGACATGGTAAACTTTAAGCTAAAACTAATTAGAAGAGGCAAAAAATATCACTATATACAAAGAATGTTACGGATAATGGAATAGCAACATTGATAAATATATGTGCCTCAAATCCTGCAGTACCTGTCTTCGTAGAACAAAAACTGAAATTAGATGAGATCAAGCACATTCAGGGTGGTGAATATGGCTATAGGCAAAACCTCCTGAAATTAAATGATCAAATAAGCACTAGCACAATCATAGTAGGGAATTTTAACACCCCACTTTCTCAAAGAGATCATTTAATCAAAAAATAAAGAAATTTCAGAGCTGAACCATACCATTGAACATATTAACTTAATGCATATATCCAGAGTATTCCACCCCTTTACAACAGAGGATACATTCTTGTCAATGGCACATGGCACTTTTTCCAAAATCACGTACTAGTCCACAAAACCTGCTTAAGTTAATATAAAAGAATAGAAATTACACCATGCATACTAACAGACCACCGTGCAATGAAAATAAAAATCAATGACAAAAGAAATTACAGAAAAGTTAAAAACTCCTGGAAAATTATATACCCCTGCACTATTAATGAGTCATGAAATAAATCTAAAAAGAAATTCTGTTGCTATAAATTATAATGCAATCTTCTTAATGAATATAGGTTAAAAATCCTCAACAAGGTATTAGCAAGTAGAAAGCAACACATTAACAAAAATATCATACAATTATACCTTGGTTCATGAACTTAATTTATTCTATGATCTTGGAAAAGATGGCCATGTCTGTGGTTGTGTGGGAAAGATGGCCACAGTCATGTTTGTAATCTGATGCAGAGTTTGCAAACAAAAACAATTTTTGCCAAACACTTCTGTTTGTGACACAAACTGCAAACAAAAGTGTTAACAAACTGAGGTACCACTGTGCATCATGATCAAGTAGGTTTCATCCCAGAGTTGTAAGAATGTTTGAACATATTTAAGTCAAAAAATGTAATAACTCACACCAACAAAAGAATGGTTAAAAAAAATGATCATTTCAATACATGCAGAAAAATTTTTTACAAAACGCAACTCTCCTTCATTGTAAAAACCCTGAAGAAAAAAGATATATAAGAACTATACCTAAATATGATAAAAGCTATGTATGACAAACCAATAGCCAACATCATATTAAATGAGGAAAATCTGAAAGCATAACCCCCAAAATCAGGAATAAGAAAAGGACGTCCACTGTCTCTGCTTCTATTCAACATAGTACTTGATACATTAGCCAGAACAATTAGGGACAAGATAGAAATTTTTTTAAATGATACATGTAGGATAGGAAGAACTCAAATTATCATTATTTGCAGATGATGTGAAATCTACATAGAAAAACAATAGGGACAGGGATTTAGCTCAGTGGTTCCACTGCCTGCCTCTCAAGCACAGGGTCCCAAACTCAATCCCTGGCACCAAAAAATGAAAAAAACAACAACAATAGAACTCCACCAAAAAATATCTTAGAATTAATAATGAACTTCAGTGATCTAGCAAGATACAAGATCAATACACAAAAATCATTAGCATTTTGATGCACCAACAGTGAACCAGGTGAGAAGGAAATTATGAAAAATATAGCATTCATAGTAACTTCAAGGAAAATTAAACAACTAGGAATTAACCTAACCAAGGAAGTGAAAGACTTCTACAAAGAAAACTAAAATATTCTGAAATTTGAGATTGAAGAGGACATCAGAAAATGGAAAGATATCTCCTGCTCCTGGATAGACAATTAATATTGTCAAAATGGCCATACTCCCAAAATTGTTATATTCATATTTAATAGAGTTTTTATCAAAATACCAAAAATACACTTTAGAGATCTAGAAAATTCAATCCTAAAATTTATGTGGAACCAGAAGTCATCTACAATAGCAAGTGCAATTTTGGCAACAAGAGCAAAGCAGGAGGCATAGTAATGCCTCATTTCAAGCTGTACTATAAAGCATTGGAGATAAAAATGGCATAGTACAAAAACAGATATATGAATCAACGGAACAGAATTGAGGATACAGAAGCTTCCTCAGACACATTCAGCTATTTGATTTTTGACAAAGTGGCCAAAAGCATGTACTGGAGGAAAGATAGCCCATACAACAAATGGTGCTGGGAAAACACTTTTTCTATGAACAGAAGATTGAAACTTCTTTTTCACCATATACTAAATTGAAGTCAAAATGGATGGAAGATCTAAACATTGAAAAGAAACATTGAACCTATTACAAGATAAAATAGGTAAAACAGTAATCTGTTTTGAAATGACAACTGCATAACCTGCTTTTCTCTATCTTTCTTGGACAAAGCTACCTGTACAGTGAAGCACATCTCCTTGGGGTCGTGGAAGGACATGTCACTCATGTCCTGCCTGCTTGCATAGATTTTGGAAATCATCTGTTCAGATGGGTGGAAAACCTCTGGCAGTAGGCATCAATGAGACAAGACTAAGCATACTGCTAGTTTTATAGTTTCCGCAGGATTATCTAAAAACATGGCCTGTTGTTTCGTAAGCCATTCTCCTGTTAAGCACAACTTACCTTTTGTCTCAAGAAAAGCATTGACTGACCTGATAGGGAGTTGGGACTACTAGTTTTTGCCCCAGAGTTAGTTTTGTAGCTTCTTCTGTTAGCATAGGTGTAGCTTTTTATTGTCTTAAAGTGGGGTGGCCAACCAGCAGCCACTCTTTCTAATATTTTTGAAAATTATGCCACTGAGTGTGATTTCTGTTACACCCTTTGCATCAAGACATTCAAAACAAGTCTTCTCTTTTCTAATAGGTAAAAAAAGATTTTCTTAAGTCATGTATTCCTAGTACTGTAGCCTGAGTGAGGGAGGGAATGTTTTATTTCTCAAAAGGCACTGTCAGTCACTTTTATTCATTCGTAGAGCAGAAACTCAGGACCTTTTATAGTATCATATAAACCCTTTGCCTTTTGTCTCAAATTTGGTATACAGATCACACAGAAACCAGCATTTTCAGAAAGGGATGAAGCTGTTGCTTGGTGGCAGGGGCCTCAAAATCACAAGATAGCTTGGATTCAGTTCCTAGACAACTGTTATTCCCTGGATGTAAGAATGTATCCCAAGTATTATACTTTCGAAAGGCATATCTGAGTCCTTTCAGATTTGTATCTCTACTTAGCTAGAAAACTGAGAGTTTGGTTAACAGAGTTGGATAGCTCCCAAGTTTGACTACACCTTAGACATCATCTACATGCTGTTGGACATTTCCCTGTCTAAGCTCTAGCTTCCTTAAGTCTTCCCAGTGCCCAAG